GTGGAACACAGAACAAAACCAAGATTTCAGTTCCAGTAGTGTAAATGAATAATTTTCTTGAAATGCCCTGTGCTCTAGTAAGCGAAGGCAAAATGTGTGTATTTTGTGCCTCATCAACCAAGGCGTTGCTGGCAAAGGAGAATGGGTAGTGCTGAAGCAGCAGGAAAACAGAGTGAGTAGAAAAGTGAAAAGTGCGCTGGAGAGACAAGAGCGTGAAGTGGCCAGGAAGTTGACAGCCGTAGACTATCAGAAATGAGAAATACATCGTACCTCAGATACAACCAGCCGCACGCAAAAGAACATTTCGAAATGGCCCTGAAAAAGATCAACAATTGGAAGAAGGTTTTCAGGTTAAGGTTGAGTGTGCGCTTACAAACAATTGACTGAAGACTGAGAAAAATAAGAAAATTAGCTAAAACACAGAGATCTACAAAAATTTCATGCACATCAAGCATTTCGATAAAATAACAACCAAAAAAATACGTCTGAAGCATTATTTCACAACACAGTCATCAACAGTAATTGCTTTATAAATAGTTTCATCACCTATGCAAGTGATTTTTACGTGAACTGTTTTCAATGTGCATGTTTCATTTACAAAGTACCATTAAATTGAAATTTAAACAAAATTTTATGTGAGTAATATTGATAGATATTTGTAAATTTTAAGTTGTCAGATGGCTTATTTGACAAATTTAAAGAAAACGTGTAAAATTAGAAGTTTGTATTTCAATCATTACTTAAATGAATCATACTGTTCACAAAGCTTCGAGTTCACCTCTTCTACAGAGCCTAGCACCCAACACAAGTCTACATGTGAGCGACACATTGGCTACAGCCAATATCCTGGTGACCAGTTCAAGAAGTGACAGAGCATTAGAGGGCATACAGCAGCATTAGAGAGGTGTGAGGTTAGACTAAGCTCAGTGGAATGCACAATTGCAACACACTGTGATTCCAGAACACAATACACAAATAAGGGTGTGATTGGTTTTGGCTTTACGGCATTGGAGACATGTATTGTATAATAAAAATTGAATAAATTAATAAGAGAGTTTGTAGTCACATTAGAACAATTGAAGAGAAACATTAAGACAACATATGTAACAGTAAGGAATATGTAGGCTTTTGATTGAATTAAAAGATGTGAAAAAATAAGTATATCATAATGTAAGGCCCATCATATGACTAGTGTAATTCAACACTCCATATTTTGCACGCAAGTACCCATATGATGTCGATATTAAAATAAGATGTTGAAATAATAACAAGAAGAGATCATGATACTTTTAACAACTAATTCTCAAACCTTCTTTAAGAAAATAATAAAAATACATATTATAATTTTTACTCAAACTCACTTAAATTTGTGTGCACCAATCTCTCATTTTGTGTAATTTAATTTAATTATTTTACTTTCAGCTCCAATTTAAATGAACAATTTGTTCTTGTCTAAAATCTATTTTTTTAAAATGAAGAAGAAATAGACATGTCTTTTAATGGATCAAAAATCATGACAGTTACTTCATTGTTATACCATGACCACTAATTGAATAATCCAGAATAATGATTAATACCAATTTTCAACTTTAAATTATCTTTTGTAGTAGATCACTTCTTTATTGATTCATTTTGCAAAAAAACATTCTCAATGATAATGTAATACTTCACATGTTTCAACTCAAGGAAATGCTTTAAAGTATGAAACCAAAAGGAAAGAACACTCACGTGGCTTCTGAGGCGGACGCACTTGTTCTCCCACCAGAGTTCTGCCTGTTGCACCTCCATACAAGTCCCTCGTCCTGGTGGGGATATGGCCTCACCAGAGGTTGAGTGACTCCAGCAATTGTTCTGGCTATCCTCTCCATCCTGAACATCATAAAAGTTCAAGAAATTTTTCAAAGGGCTTAAGTGTTTACTAAAAGTGAGACACAGTTTCTTAAAGAACACATTTTTATTTTGTAGAAAGCCTCAAGAATACATTAGAATATGTAAAGAAATCAGTTATAAAAAGTTACATTTTTATGTGTAATTTTTTGTTTCCTACTGTGTAAACTTTCACTTAAGAAGTTACTGTGAATGATATAGTATGTTTTTCTGTTGATATTAGTCTGTCTTAAAATTTTAATTTAAAAATGTTCAATATATAAAATTAGGAAAAGAAGAAAATTAGAAGAAAATTATTTAATCTGATGAAAGCTATGATAAATTATTAATGACATTTGAAAAAATCTGTTATTCCAACATTCTAATAATTTAGTGTATTTTTATTATAAAAATGTATAATAAAATTATGGTATTAAATAAATGCTAAAATAAAATTTTAATAAATCATAAAATTTTAATTTATTTACTTATCTTTAATCATTACTTTCTCTCATCTACCTCATAAAAAAGTTATGTAATTGCTGCAGTAAAGGGTCGATTTTTTCGACATTTCCGTTCCTCAGTCTGCCCGGAAAACAACATTAGCATCTTAACCGTACCTAAGGATTTTCAAACAAAACTGAAATCAAAATTGCGATTTCTCGAATTTGAAGCGAAAATTTTCATTTTTGGTGCTTCGCAAAAGTCTTTGGAACCTTCGAAATTTTCTCGAAAATAGCACCAATTTTTTCAGTAAGTTAAAAGAAAGCAGACCTCGTTTATTAAATTGGCGTCGTTCAATTTACCAATAAAAACCTCTAAGAATTCGGGAAATTACAAAAAATTCTCATAATACAGTATCTTGAAACTTCACACTAACAACTCGCGTCAAACCGATTTCTGAAACTCAATTGTAACTCCGATGATTACGAAAAAACTAATATATGTTTGAAGAACATTCTTTAAAGATATAAATATTGAAGGAATTAAGAATTAAAAAAGAAATCTTGCAAACATATTGAAGCGTGAAATAGATGTCACCTACGAAAAATAATGTGACCTTTTCATTTTTCGATAATACAGGGATTTTTAAGAAGCTCTTACCTAGGTCATATTATTTAGCCAAATTTCGCAGCTATTCGAGAAGAAGCAATTTGAAAACCCATTTCTTCTTGTTAAGTATTTTTTAAAAAATTTTTCACGATTTCACGCAAAGCATACTGCGAAAACTACTAAAAATTCCAAAATGTAGGTACACATATTATTTGAAAATTTATTTCGAAGAAAATATTTCATTAAGAAAAATATTTTTTAATAAATTGATAAATGTTGCCAGAAGAATCCTCGTGAACGATTGGTTTAGTATGCCCACAGTCTGACAGAAATATTTGAAAAACTAAAAAAACAACACACGTTTTTGATGATTTTCTGCATTATATGATTTTCTCTATACTACCACATATAAGAGAAGAGTAAACACTTTGAAGTACCAAATACAACTACTCTTCGCGTCTGAAATTGGAGCGCAGTGATCTATTGCAGAGTAAACTACTCAAACGCGCTCGAGAAAGATGACTTCCCTCCAGCGATGAAGTTGAAAGTGTTTAAGCCTTAATGAGGCTACTACGACTTAAGTTCTGCATGTGTTC